AGAAATCGCCTGAGAAGGAAGTAATATTGAAAGAAGAAAAGGCTTTAGCTCCTAAAGACAAAACTCCACCCGAAAAACCCTCTGAGATAAAACTTAAACCTGACGAAATTACGGAAAAGGAGAAATCACCTGAGAAAGAAGTAACATTGAAAGGAGAAAAGGCTTTAACTCCTAAAGACAAAACTCCTATACCCGAAAAACCCTCTGAGATAAAACTCAAGCCTGATGAAATTACCGAAAAGGAGAAATCGCCTGAGAAGGAAGTAACATTGAAAGAAGAAAAGGCTTTAGCTCCTAAAGACAAAACTCCACCCGAAAAACCCTCTGAGATAAAACTCAAGCCTGACGAAATTACGGAAAAGGAGAAATCGCCTGAGAAAGAAGTAACATTGAAAGAAGAAAAGGCTTTAGCTCCTAAAGACAAAACTCCTATACTCGCAAAACCCTCTGAGATAAAATTCAAAACTGACAAAATTACGGTAAAGGAAAAATCGCCTGAGAAAAAAGAAGTATTGAAAGACGAAAAGACCTTAACTTCTAAACACAAAATGCCTACACCCGAAAAACCCTCTGAGATAAAAATCAAACATGACGAAATTTCGGAAAAGGAGAAATCGCTTGAGAAAGATGTAATATTTAAAGGGGAAAAGGCTCCTAAAGACAAAACTCCTACATCTGAAAAACCCTCTGAGATAGAACTCAAGCCTGACAAAATTACAGAAAAAGAGCAATACCCTGATAAAGAGGAATTATTGAAAGACGGAAAGGCTTTAACTCCTAAAGACAAAGCTTCTACACCCGAAAAACCCTCTGAGATAAAACCCAAATCTGACGAAATTACAGAAAGGGAGAAATTGCCTGTAAAAGAAGAAGTATTTAAAGATGAAAAGGTTTTAACCCCTAAAGACAAAATACCTACACCCTCTGAGTTAAAACTCAAAACTGACGAAATTAAGAAAAAGGAGAAGTCACATGTGAAAGAAGAAGTATTGAAAGAGAAGGAGGCTTTTATTCTTCAAGACAAATCCCCTACACCGGAAAAACTTTCTGAGATAAAACTCAAACCTGACGACACTACAGAGAAGAAGGAATTGCTTGAGAAAGAAAAGGAAGTTTTGAGAGAGGAAAATGCTCGCTGTCCTAGAGACAAAACTTCACCGGGAAAGATCTCTGAGATAAAACTAAGACCTGACAAAATTACGAGATCGCCAAGCAAGGAACAAGTACTGAAAGAGCAAAAGGCTCCTTTTAAATACAAAACTCAACTTTCAACTGAACAAATAATTGAGATTACACACGAAATTAAGGAAACTATAGAGGGGAAATTTGAATGTAATGAGGAAATTGCTCCTTCTACTAAACGTAAAACACCTCCACACGAAATTATTGAGACAGAGAAATTACTTGAAAATAAAGATATAAAAACTGACATGGCTCCCTTCCCCAAGAAGAAATCTCCCACTTATGAAAATTTAACTGGGGTAAAACAGGAGCTTCAGGAAATTGGATGTGAGGCCTTAATATCGAAGGAGAAACAAACGATCGAGAAAGAATCCAATGCATGCTTAGGAGCGACAGATTTACATGATGAAGATCTGTCTAACAAGACATTTTTATCCAAAGACGATGAATTTCGGGCAACAAAACAGAATATCGCTGAACTTGTAGCTAAAAGGGAGGCGTCTTTTGAAACATTTTTCGAGAAACAACGTTGTAGAAAAGTATCAGAACACGTGGAATTTGATAGCAAAGTAACTAAGGATATTAAAAATGATTCGGCAATAAAATCAGGAGAAAGTGAAAGAGATACAATTACGCTTTCCAAATCTGAGAAAACTTCAGCTACAAGTAAAGACTTGAAAGTTACTTCTACAGGTGATGACAAGTCTGCCTACTTTTCTTTTACTTCACAAGAAGGCTCTGATGGTAGTCAATATAAACAGATCGATTCATTAAATGTTAAACAAAGTCGTTCAGATTCTACTAGCAAGTTTTCTGTGTTAGACACATCTATTCACGGGGATAATTTAGAAATTATAGACAGATTGTCTCAATCTATAGGAATTCATAAACACACTGAATTTAAATCATTATCAACTACAACCGATACTTGTGAATACATATCTGAGGATACTGCAAAATTGGATCATTTCGAGGGGAAATCTCAATTAGAAACAACAACTTCTTCCCGAGCTTCCATAGTCGATACTGATTCTGAGTCGTCAAACCTCTCGTCATTCATAGGTCCCAAATCCGTTTTAACTCACAAGGAAATCACTTCCGCATCTGCATTTGATTCTACCTCAACAGCAACTGAAGTTCCTACGGCACCAACGGACACCATTCATAAAGGTACTGAAGTTTCGGAAGTAGATCGTATGATTTCTAAACCTCCTGTACCTGATAGTAAATTAGAGGCTGTTGCTGTGACTGCCATTAGTCAGCTAGATTGCGATAGAACTCATTCTTCTTATCATAAGAAAACTGATTTTAGTCACGATAGTTCCGCCATAGATGAATACATTACTTCCGATGAAATTTCATACTTAAGCTCAGGGTTACATAGTGATTCTGCAAAATTATCCGAAACTGAAGCCGAATTAATATTTTCCGAGACCGATTCATCGGCGAGAATCGAAGCTAGTAAAAGAGCTACAAGTGATTCAATACCGGAGGCTCCAATAAGCGATTCTCAACCTGTCGTTGTTATGACAGACGACATAATTGAAGTAACTTTGCAAAATGGCTTTGATAGTGATCATAAAAAGTCTTCCGAAGTTGTAGTAGAGGAGAGTAAAGTTAAAATTGGCAAAAGTAAGCAGAAAGTTAGTGATACAACGAAAGTAATGAAACCCAAAAAGAAAATTACAAAAGCTACCCCAAAATTGCGTTCTTTTAAAACTGAGAGTGACGCTGATGTGAGTTCTGATGACGACAAATTTATTCAAAAAACTAGAACTACGAAAAGTACCACAGTTACATCGAAAAAACCGCAAGTTTCAGGTATTCCAAAACGTGTAAAATCAACTAGTTCTGTTACGACTGAAAGTACCAAAACTACACATCAGTATTTGAAGAAAAAAATAAAAGAACCTGAAACGACTCCGATACGTACAGTGCGCAAATATGACACAAAAGTTCATGGTTACATGCAATCGACTTTATCACGTGACATGAAAATCGATAAACAAATTAAAGAAAAAGAGACGTTATTGCAAAAGGGCACCAAAAATAAAAAAGAAATGGATAAAATCAACGAGAATTTGAAAAGTAGTCTAAAATCGAAAACAGAGACGCGTAAAACCGAGACAAGACATGCATATCAACGAACTACATTTTCTTCGGAACGAAAAGTTTCCAGTTCTAGGGAAGGTACTCCTGTTAAATCTAAACCCAAGAAAACTGAGGAAACTTTGAAAAAGCCTCCGAAAAAGAAGGAATCTAAGACTGTGGTACTTGATAGCAATAAATATGCCGAAACTCGGGCTAAGTCTAAAACTACCACACCTGGTGATAGTAAGGCCACCACATTGCAGAAAAGCGAAGTGATTTTTATAAGAGACAGCCCTAAACCGAGTGCCTCTCCTACTAAACTTAAACGTACCGTAATTATCGATCAAACTAAAAAAGAAAAAGAGAAATTTTCGGACGTTTCCGATAGTGAGAAAGTGGTGCAATTCTCGGATCGTATCCGAAGTCAATCAGTCATTCCTTCAACTTATCAAGAACTAATCTCAAAAGAGAGGAAAGAAAGTGTGAGTCCGACATCTTTACCGGGTAGTCCAATCCGGGTACGATCGGCCAACGGTGGTACCAAAGTCATAACGTCGGARGTTTTCACTCGGACTCAAAACTACACCGGATCTATCGAAGTCATCTACCGCCAACCGTATGAAAACGTCCGAAAAATAGCCAGTACTCTTAAAAACGAAACTGAGATGTCACTAATTGACACAACTGACTCGAGTTTGTCCGAAAGTGTGGCTTTGCCAAGTCCTCCTTCAGATCATGATGTCAGTTCGGACACCAATGGCCGTTTCCGGTCCCTCTCTCCGAYTTCCCCCCGGAAACGCAAATCACTCGAATCAATTAATGAATCCGATCATCGCGTCTCTGATATAATCCCTTGTACGGAGATTGTAGAAGAAGAAAGTTGTGCCATCCCAAGACAGTTGGTGATGTCGCAGTACCAGGAAATGGGGCACAGCGCCGAAGAGCGTCTCTCGCCCATAATCGACGTGAAAGTCGTTTCGCCGTCGCGAATCAAATATCAGTTCGATTATGAGGATAGAGGCGATAAGGATGAGACAAGATCAGGTACCGCGACTTTTGTGTTGCCTGACACTAAAGCGATGTCATCCCACAGCATGGCTTTCCGAATAGAGACACGTAAAGAGGTATAAAACCTAAATTTAGACGCTTAGTTTTGTTCTATGCTTGCGAAAATGCCCAAACTAGTAAATTAGCTTAGTTTAGTTTTTAGTTTTATTAGAGAAACAGTTCTAAAGGAGCCATGGTAAGTACCTCGGTAGTACCCAAGGATACATGGTGGTTAGAAAATGGAAAAACTGACAGATTTTCTCCCACAATTGCAGGAAACTCTCGTCCACAAAGATTATTTCGATCTCAAAGAATATCTCTTTTTCGAAAAACTCACCAAATCGTACCGTTATCTTTCTATTATCTTCAAAGAGGTCGGTGGAGAGTAGAAGATGAGTTCTTTCGGTGGTACCATCCCTCAGATTGCTATAACACCCGATGCGAACGAATGGAACTCTTCGACAAACMATATCGCAGAAACTTTAACCGAYGTCGAAGATTTAGAAGAAGATGTGAGCAAACCCAAGTCTAAACTAAAAATTAAATTGAGCGACGATGGGGCAATTACAGATGTTGAGGATTTGGAAGGTTCAGACACCGAACTTGAAACTAATGTGCGAACAGTGTCTGTCAATGATTTACAACTAGACTCTTGCAAAATTCAAGAAATCGGTAATTTGGGAAATACTTCACAAAATTTCAAATTAAGACCTGAATGGCTAAATCCCCCGGATGGTGGTGTAACAGACGCTGAAGATTTTGCTACAGATGACGAGTTCACTCTTGGAGATGTACCAGAACCTGAGATTAATTTCGATGATTACCATTCCGACTATGTGAATATTTCGAGTGACTATAAGCAAAAAATCGAAAATCTTTCTTTACCGGCGGTCGGTACTAACCAACTTACTGACATTGAGTCAGTACCTTCGGACAGTGAAGGTGAAACTTTGATCAAAAAAACTAAACCCAGGCGGCGAAGAGCAAAACTTTGTCATAAACATGGAGGTAGTGACAAAGATGAATTTCCAAAACCTCAACGTTTCCCCAAAATAAAAAAATCAATGTCTCACCCTTGTTCCCTTCAATCACAAAATAGATTGTTCGGGTTTGAGTCAGACGGGGAGGCTGAAAATGATTGTTTTCTAAAATTCCCACTTGCTAAAACTAACAAACGCGTTCTCACAGACACTGAAGATTTGGARGAAGGTGGCAATAAAAATGRTATTGAGGAAAAAGAAAAAATWAAAGATGATAGTAATGATTCGACTCCTGTTGAAACCGATGTTGAGTCTATTGAAGGTGAAATTGGAAAATCTCAAGTRCCTGAAATTCTCCTACCACCTCCAGTGCGTACTTTGGTGTTTTTGCATGAGGACAAATCGTTGGTACCAACGACCAAAATTTTGCCTTTGGCCGAAGTTAATACTCTTGGGTTGGGTTCCGAAGAAAGTGGTGGTACTACCGACATTGAATATTTCGAAAGTGATGGTGATTTTCTTACTGTTGAAACCTTTAAGCGAGCACCCACTCCTGAAATCAGCGGTTATGAATACAGCAATGTTGTTTACGGCGAAGGCAAATTAAATGTGTCCAAACCAAAAGAAGAACCGCTTACTGATACTGAAGACTTGAATGTTGTTGGACGTCCAAGATACAAAAAATTGAAAAACAAAACTTTGCAAGTTGTTGCTTCAAATGACCAACCGACAACCGACACTGAGGATTTTTTTATTAGTGATTCACCCAAATCTCCAGTGAGGAGGCAGAAAGTTGTTGAAATGTCTGTAGAAGGRTTATTTGTTCCCTACTATGTAAAAGATACATCTTCCAAAGACTTGGATGGAACTTCCACTACTAGAAACCGATTAAGTGTCAAAAAACCCAAAAATGTGACCTCTAGTCCTGARTTGACCGACGTTGAAGATTTAGCAGCGTCTGGTGATGAGGAAAATATTCGTTCGCAAACTGCAACTCCTAACGAGTTTGCTAAACATTTGGAACAACAGAGGTCATCAAAAGTCCACATACAAACCACCAGAAAACTTGATTTTGACAATCCCAATGAAATAATGTACCTTAAAGGTGGTTCTTACCACCAAACTCATACCGATATTGAAGATATTTCAGAAGACAACGAAGAAGAATTTCAAATAGGTAAAATTCTAGTCAACCAGTCTGTAGGCTTGGTTAAGGTAAATTATGCTTTTTATTTGCTTTAAAACACTTGTTATCGATTGGTATCAGGTAAGCTAATGCATGCTAGCTTTTATAGATTGAAGAGAAGAATCATTGTCACTAAAATTGTTATTTTTTTTTGTAGAGTGGGATGTCTCAAAGAAGTCAGCATCACAAGAAGAAGCACCACAGGACGCAGAACAGCAAGGTAAGTTTTTAGGTTAAGGCAGCACAATTGTTGCACTTATTTTCATACAGAATTCATAAAAAAAAACAGTTGTGCTAAATTCTATTCAATCTCAACAAGCAGGTATTCAAAAATTGAGCGGCTAGGGTCATTTCCATTCATTTCGTTTTCTTTTTTCTAACAGTTTGATTAATTTTTTTTTTAATTTGTAAGCCAAGGGATGCTTTATGTGCAATACTTACAAAAGTAATTGTACTCACACTAATTAGAATAAGATAAAAAGTGCTTTTCTATAGTTTTATTTGAGGATAGGTCAAGCTTCCACTAATTGAGTGGCGATGAAATTTTTCTTTTTGTTAGCAAATTCTACAAGGTAACATTTTTTTAAACGTTAATATTAATGGCGGATCGCTTGTTAATGCATGCGCATGGCAATTAATGCACATTTGCATCTTGACGCTTGATAGTCAGCTTAAAACTTAACCGTCTTAAGCTAGAGTTAGCTTTTGGGGCGACTTTTGTTTATTTAACATCATTCATTATCATTGAAGCAGGTAATAGGACGAAACGAACTGTTTGCAAAAATCAAACAAGTATTCTTACCAGCGAGTTAATGCATTTTTTTCTGTTAAAGCCACAGCCAAGTTTGTAACGTACGAAAGCGTYCTGTTGAGACCGGATCGCGACTCATCCTCACCCCCTACTCCCCCTATTACCTATAAACAAATAGATGCAATGCTTGAAAAAATGCTATTTGAAGTGGAAAAACAGGAAAAACTTTTTGGTCTAGATTTAGATTTGCTTGAGCCGAGCGATGATTCGTTTGTTAATACTTTGGAATTGGTGCCTGACACTGATGCAGTAATTGAAATTCCGGTCAAAAAATCGGAAGTTTATGAAAGTCGACGCGAAATTCAATTAAATGAAGACGAAGAACAGGAAGATTTCGCAAATTTGTTGATCGGAGGGCCACAAATCGCATCAAATGAGTCGTTGAGTGAAACCCCGGACGACGATTACGAACCTATTGAATATAACGCATTGAAACACGTTTATCAAAGATTAGACTCGTATCCTGAGAGCGAAATTTGGTTCGAGGGTACTTATCGCAACTTAAGTATAGTACCAGAAGAAGACGAAGATGAGTGTACGAGTCTGTTGAGTAATTTTTCAAATTATCCCACTCGGAGTACTTCTTCAAATCAATATTCGGTCTACGATTCATTTCCGACCCACGAAAACACTGAATCAAGTGTTTCAGAAACGAGCGATGATTCAGACGAAGACGAGTTATGTGATGTCAAACAAGAGAGTATTGTTAAAGCTGAAGTAAAATTATTGGTGAAAACGTCAGAAAATGGCAAAGAAGCAATCGAGATTAGATCGGTGAGAGAGTTCCTTGAGAACCCACCCGAAAAATCTAAAAACCCAGAAGTGAAGAAAAAATCACTCGGCAAAAAAATAAGCAATTTGAAGAACAAATTCACCAGTATGGTAGATCGCAGTAAGCGAAATTTTAATTTCAAGCCGATTGAAAATGATTCGTGCGAAGAACTTTTACGGAAAGAGAAAAAGCCGTCGTTTATTTTCCAACAATTATTTGTTAAAACTCCCGACAGTGAGAATGACGGGTCTTTACAAGATTCCAAACGTTTTGGTAGCCGGACTGAATTAGTTGCGAGTTCCTCTGAACGTTTTCCTTTAGTGTACGACCCTGATGAGGAAGTGATTCAAGAAATACGAAGCGTAGATTTGCATGCAAACATTCCATTTTATCCATGTTACAATCGAAGCGATTTAAGTCAGTATGGATTTAAGCCCCTTTCTTCTCCTCACACTAATCCTTTCACTGAAACCATCTCCAATCCTTTCAATGAGTGCGATCAGATCCCGAAGGCGTATTGCGATTGGTTCGAAGATAATAGCGGAGGTAAAGTCCGAGTGATGGTAACACATCGAACTCATCCGCATGGTGTTGAAAGTTTTGTATTTAGTTAGTTTGATTTAACTAATGACGCATTAACTTTGCTGCCGTAAGGATATTTGGTGATTTTTCTTTACTTAAGGTATAAGATGGTAGTTAGGATGGCTTGTTGGGAATTGCATGTTTGCAGGATTGTCAACCACGACCGAACGTTTAGTAGCTAGTAACGAAGAAGCATTGCTAKACAAACCTTTAGGCCAGCAGCTTACTGGTTTATCTGTCATTGACGATAATTTAGTTACCGATTTAAAAACCGTACTCGAACAAACTAACGCTTTTATCCAATCTGAGTCACAACCGGAACCGTATGACGCGCTTGCGGAAAAATATACGAGAAAAGAACCAATCAATGTACGAAAAGTCGATGATCATAAAAATAACATGAACGAAAAGAAGAAAGCTAAGAAGGGTTTCTTTGGCTCTATCAAAACATTTGTCGAACGGTCATTCGAATCCGATTCTGAGTCAGAGAAATCGCCGAAAAAGTCCAAAAAACCTAAAAAAGAGAAAAAGAAGAAAACCAAAGATGAGAAGGCAACCGAACAAGATTTGCCACCAAGGAAACCAAAATTGCCAACACCACCATTGGCACCTAGTGACATTGATAGTATTCCTTTTGCTGAAGCTTCAGTTTCTGATTTACCCCCGCCATACAAACCACCGGATGTACCAATTAACGAAGAACAAGTTCCAGTCACTGACCTAGATGCTGATCTTGATGTTCAGGTAACTGAACAAACTCCAAAACCAACTGAAATAAAAGAAAAAGTTCAAGAACAAGTCTTGAAAGATAAGAAAAAAGGCAAAGCAAAAACTGTTGTTGTACAAGAAGTCACAAAAACAATCGAGCCTTTGGTAATAGAAGCAGAAGAATTTTCAATAGTTGTTGATCCCACCAAGAAAGAATCTCCGAAAAAATCAAAAGAAACGTTTACTATTAATATTGATCAAACCATAGAAAAGAAGGAAAAAGAAATTTTAGAAAAATCTCCAATCTTGTCCGAAGAAAAAATAATGAAACCTTTTGCTGCTCTGGAACAGATTGATGTCCCAGTCAGACCACCAAGAACTAAAGACCAYATATATGAAGATATCGAGGATCCTGCAAAAGTTTCACAAGATGTCATCAAGGAAGTAACTACAAATTTGATTCAAAATGAGATGAATAATTGTGCTTGGTCTGATGTTACTCCCGCTCTTCAAAAAGTACAGAAAGATGATGAAGCACAAAAAGAAATTGTTGAAAAGCATGACAAAGAAATTTTGAAAGAGAAAGAGAAGAAGGATGAAAAGAAGAGTGGATTTTTCAGTTTGTTTAAGAAACGGGATTCAAAGAAAGATGACGAAATGCCCATTATTGAGAAGGTTGAGAAGAATGCACTTTCTGAAGAAATATTGAAAGATATGGATGATTCAAAGAAATTTATTTTGGATGAAGTAGAAAATTACCATGATGTGCGTCCATTTCCAGCAAAAGAAAGTATGACGGAAACTGTTGCTTCTACTATTAAGTCAGAAACAGAAGAAACGAAAGCAGAAGAACGCAAGGTAGAAGAATCAAAAGTACAATCTGAAGGTTTCTTTGGTTTATTCAAGAAACCCAAAAAAGACGAAAAACCTGCTGAGAAGAAAGATACTGAGAAGAAAGCCAAGAGAGATGAGAAGAAGCTAGAAGAAAAGAAGTTGGCTGTGATTTTGTCGGAAGAAGTGCTTAAAAATATATTGGATTCAAAACGGTTTTTGGAAGGTGAAATACAAAATTACCATGATGTCAGACCTGATGACGCTAAAATGGAAGAAAAAGTTGTACATGAAGAGACACCAAAGCACATTATTGAAGAGTCTTCACCTAAAAAAGTTACGGATGCAAAAAAAGAATCGTCACCTAAACCATCTGGACTTTTTGGTCTTTTCAAAAAATCAAAAGATACAGAGGTAGAACAACCTGTGAAAGAGGTAAAGGAAACTGAACAAATCTTGACTGCTGAAATAGAAAAGCCTGAAAAACCAAAGCTCGAACCTGAAGAAAAGAAAGTTGAAGAGGTTGAGAAAACCACCGCTGAAGCTGCTGAAACTCAATCCGGCGGTTTCTTTGGTTTCTTGAAAAAATCTAAAAAAGAAGAAGAAGCTGCACCAGCACAACCTCAGTTGTCAGAATCTGTGGTCAAAGATATGACCGATACTAAACAATTCTTAACTGCCGAAGTACAAAATTACGAAGATGCTCGACCTTTAAAAGAAGAAGTGTTTAGTGAAGAAAAAACGACAGAGTCTGCGGAACAACCGTCTTCTGGTTTCTTTGGTTTATTCAAAAAAAACAAAAAAGAAGATGAGAAGATTGCCCCGGAAAAAGTAACTAAAGAGGTCGCAGTTGAAGAAAAGCTTGTCAAAGTTGCGACTGAAGAAGAAAAAACGAAGAAAGTCGTGGAAGAGGCGAGGGAATCTTCACCAAAACCAGGTTTCTTCGGTCTCTTCAAAAAATCGAAGAAAGACGAAGAAGAAACAATTCCAACAAAACCGCCTCTATCAGATTCTGTCTTGAAAGATATAAAAGAGACCACCCAGTTTTTATCACATGAAATAGATAATTATCATGATGTAAAACCTGTGAAATTTGCACCAATTTTAGAAGAAAAAATTGAAAAGTCTCGGGACGACACGGTGGAATCTTCACCTAAATCTTCAAGAGGACTCTTTGGCATTTTTAAGAAATCGAAGAAAGACCAAGAAGAAATACCTGAAAATAAAAATCCGGTTCTCTCTGAGGCAGCTTTGAAAGATATGAATGATACACGTTTATTTTTGCAAACAGAAATTGACAGTTATCATGATGTAAAACCGGCGAAATTTAAAGCAATTAAAGAAGTGAAAGTTGATAAGGATGTTGATGAACCACAAGAACTTTCTCCCAAATCACGTGGCCTGTTTGGTATATTCAAAAAAACAAAGAAAGATCGGGAAGGATCAGTTGAAGCAAAACCTGTATTGTCTGAAAGTGTTTTGAAGGATATGAAAGATACAGACGAATTTTTATCAGTGGAAGTAGAAAATTATCATGACGTTAGAGCTCCCGAAGAACAAAACCAAAAAGCAACAGAAATAAATGTAGAATCTTCCGCTAAACCATCCATGGGTTTGTTTGGTATCTTCAAAAAATCTAAGAAAGATGAAGAAGTTAATGAACCTACTAAGCCCTCCGATTCTGTTGAAAAAGAAGTAACCAAAACCGAAATTGAAAAACAAGTTGAAACTACACTGGACAAATCTAATTTGCTTGATGAGGAAAAAACAGCAAGGTCAATTGAAGAAAGAACTGAGTCATCACCAAGTCGTGGCTTATTTGGCATTTTCAAAAAACCCAAAAAGGAAGAAGATTTACCAGAAACCAAACCTACGCTTTCTGAAGAAGTAGTCAAAAATATTGCTGATACTGACACATTTCTGACTGAGGAAGTGAAAAACTATGATGATGTTATACCCGAAAAATCTGCTTTGATTGATGAAGAGAAAATTACAAAAACGGAAAAAGAGAGGACCGAATCTTCACCATCTCGAGGATTATTCGGTATCTTCAAAAAAGTCAAAAAGGAAGAAGAACCTTTAGGAACAAAGACAACACTTTCAGAAGAGGTTGTTAAGGATATTAATGACACCACTCAATTCTTAACTGAAGAAGTAGTAAATTATCATGATGTAATGTGCGAAAAGTCTGTTTCGATCGATGAAGAAAAAGTTACAAAAGTGGTGGAGGAGCGCACAGAATCTTCACCATCTCGGGGATTATTTGGAATTTTCAAAAAGACTAAAAAGGAAGAAGAACCTTCAGAAGCAAAAACAACACTTTCAGTAGAAGTTGTAAAGGATATTAATGAGACCACTCAATTTTTAACTAAAGAAGTAGAAAATTATCATGACGTAAAACCTGAAAAAGCGATTTCAGCTGATAAAGAAAAAATAACGGAAGTAGTAGAAGAAAAAACCGAATCTCGTGGTTTGTTTGGAATTTTCAAAAAATCTAAGAGAGAAGAATCAATAGAACAAAAAACAGCTATTTCTGATGAGGTAGTAAAGGAAATGGCTGATACTAGTAAATTTTTSAGTGATGAAGTGGAAAATTATCATGATGTTAAAACTGAAGCAACGGTCGTTGAAACTACTGAAGAAGCAAAAGCTGCACCTGTGGAAGAACAAAAAGTTTTAAAATCAACTGAAGAACAAACAGAATCTTCACCTTCACGCGGATTGTTGGGCATTTTCAAAAAATTTAAAAAGGAGGAAGAAAGTCCAGATGTAAAAAGCGCTCAACAAGATGTTAAAAAAACACAAGAATTTATTTCCACTGAAGTAACAAATTATCAGGATGTTAAACCGGGGATTACTGAACTGGAAATAGTTACGCCAAAAGATGTTAATGACGACGAAACGAAACAGGAAGCCAAGGTTGGGTTCTTGTCAAAGTTTAAGAAAACTAAGAAAAAGCCAAGCTTGACTGAAACACAACTCTCGGAAGAAGTACTGAAACAAATGGACGAAACAAAGAAATTTATATCTACTGAACTCGAAAATTATGAAGTTGCAATAACCGAGAGTGTTGATAAAGATAAAAAAGAAGAAAAAACTGTCACTTTTGAGGACACTAAATCAAAGATGGTGACAGAGATTCATCTTCCTCAGGTTGAAGTTGCTCATGTAGTTGAGATGGCACCTAAAGATGTGACAGATGTCATCAAAGAGCCTGCAGAGGAAATTAAGGAAACAACAGAGATTATTGCAAAAGAAATAACTCAGACACAACAAGCTGAAGAAAAAGAAGTAAAGTTAAAGAAAGATAAACTAGGTAAAGAGAAAAAAGGCAAAAAGTTTAACATATTTGGAAAGAAGTCCAAGTCTCAGGATGCCTCTTTTGATGAAAATAGAGGAAAAATAGAAGTAGAAAGTGAAGGATCACCAAAAAAACAAAAAAGGCGTAAAAGCAGTAGCCCGTTTAAGTTTTTCGAAAAAATGAAAAAGAGCGAAGAAGAAGTCAAAGAAACTGAAACTGATGAACAACCTCAAATCCATGCTAGAACTGAAACTGTCACTAAAGAAGAACCAAAAGATGATTTGCTGGACATTGAGTTTGAAAAGGAACCTGCAATAAATTTAAGCGAAGAAGTTTTAGGTAGTTTAGAGAAGAAAATGGAGGAATTAAAAAAGAAATATTCACCTGAAGTTCAAAAACAAATCAACGATTGTCGCGATTTTCTATTTATAGAAGTTGATAACTATGAAGATGCTAAACCTGTGGTTGTTACCGATATTGATTCTGAAATAATATCAACTGACGCTACTAAAGCTGTTGATGAAATTATTAATGAAGCGTCAAAAGTTATTGAAGATGGTAAAAGCCAAGCTAGCACTGTAAAGTCTGAAGTTGTAGAGATTTTCACAAAGAGTGACTCTGAAAGTGAAGACGGAAAAAAGAAGGAAAAGAAAAAAGACAAAAAATCTGGAGGATTCTTCTCCAAACTAGGAAGTTTGATCTCAGGAAGCGTTGACGAGGCTAAGAGTGAAATTGAAGAAGCTAAAAAGGGAGCTGAAAAAACAGCCGCTAAAACTAAAGCAACAACTCAGAAAACTGTAGATACAACAGTTAAAAGTGTCCAAGGTAAAGTTGAAAAAACACAAGACTCATTGGTCGAACAAATTAAAGAAATTGAAGAAATTAAAGATAGTTCTATTGCTACGACTTCTCAAAAGATTGATGAAGCAAAAATGGGAATCATAGATCTAAAAGAGTCACTACTGGAAACAATTACAAAAACTGGAAAAAAAATTGAAGCCATTAAAAAGGACACCGCAGTTAAGACTGGAGACATGAAAGATGCAACGATGAAAAAAGTCGATGATGTTACAGAAAGTGCACAGACGGCTTTTGAAAAATCAAAATCTGACATGTCGCAAAAAATTCAAAAAGTAGAAGAAACAACAAAAGAAATTAAGAAGAAAACTGAAGAAAGTATAAGAACTGCTCAAAACTCTGCTGTCAGGAAGTCTGACGATTTACARAAGGATATCAAACACAAAGTAGCAGACGAAAAGAGTCATCTAGAACAAAAGATAGGTAAAACAGTTGAAGGGTCTACAAAAATTTTAAAAGAATTTGAGAAAACAACGGATGAAGTGGTAAAAGCAACGGTAGAGAAAGCAGAAGATGTTAAGACTAGTGGACAACAATTTTCTCAACAAGTCGTTGAAACCACCAAACAGAAGACTGAAGAAGTAAAACATGATGCCGAGAAAGCAAAAGCTTATATCGAAAGTGTAGGGAAACAAAAAATTRATGATTTAGACAAAACAATAGAAGACATGAGAGCCAGAATTGAAGACGAAGTTAAAGATATTCAACATTCAACTCAACATAACATTGATGATTTAGAAAATGTAAAACATAAAGCAATAAAGGATATTGAAGCGGTGGCTAAACAAAAATTTKATGAAATTGAGAAAACAAAAGGAGATATAGAAGGCTCTATTGCAGAGAAAGTTGACGATTTGAGTAAGACGGCTGCACAAAAAGTAAATGGATTTGAAAAAATTAAAGAAAGTAGTAAACAAGCAGCTGCACAACAAATAGAAGAACTGTCACAAGTTAAAGAGACAATTGAYCAGGATTTGAGATCTGCAACCACGAAAAAAATTGACGACGTTACAAAATTCAAAGAGGAAAYTGGAGACACTGCTAAAGAAAAAATGGAAGACGTCGCAAAAACGTCTTCTAAAATTGGGGWTGATCTGACCAAAGCCAAGGATAAAGCTCAAGAAGCAATTGCTAAAAAAATAGACGAAGTTGCTAAAGATAAAGGTAATATTAAAARTACGATAGAAAGTAAAGCAGAAGATTTACACAAGGAGACTATCAAAAAAATAGAATGTACACTTGCCGAACTGACTACAGTAAAAGAAAATACAAAAGAACTTTTGACGGAAACAGCCGACGAATTTGCCGCTGCAAAACAAAGCGCAATCGAAAGATTATCTAAAGCTCAAGATGTGTCGTATCTATCCGAAGCAGAAATGGGAAAAATTATTCACATAACTGACGATACAGAACAAAAAATGACTGAAGATGTTGGAGCAAAAGTTACGGATAAGTCTATGTCGAAGCAAAAGGATTCTATCACTGAAACCGTAGCTCAAAAGACAAACGAAGTATCTAAAACAGCTGCAAAGAAAGTCGACGATTTATCAACGACTATTGGTTTGGGAGAAGAAGCAGTAAACGGCTTTCAAAAATCAACATCAGAAAAGTTGAGTAAAATCGACAAGACTAAAGAAGAAGCTATCGCCGACCTTTCAAAATTGAAGGAAAGTACTTCAGGGACTCTGACTCAGTTAACAACAGAAACTGCAAAATCAAAAGAAAGTGCAATTGAAGATTTAATGAGAATAGAACAAAGTCTAAAAGACACATCTTCACAAATTGCAAGTGAACTCTCAAAGGGAGTTTCACAAAAAAAGGATGATTTTCAAACAGCAAGACAGAAAGCTATTGACGATATTGAAAAAATAAAGGGAAGTGTTACTAAAATTGATGATATTCCCAAAGGTACTGCAAAAAAAGTTCGAGAAGAAGTTGATCAGCAAAAGAAAGAACTTGATGATGAATTATCAAAATTAACATCTTCATTAGAACAGTTATCAGAACCTGTCGTGAAAGATATACAAACTGTAAAATCATACGTTACTTCACCCACAATGGCACGACGAGCCGAGTCACAGAGGTTTTCTCGTGAAGAGCGACCAATAGTTCGTGAAGTGAAAAGTGGACAACAAGATGAAGATAGCGATGAAGAGCACTACACTGTGACCGAGCCAGAAGATGTGGAAGATAAGAAACGCAAACCTTTATTTCATTTAGAATCTGAAGACGATGATTCTTTCGAGGTGGCTAAAGGTGCTAAAGATAGACGCGACAGTGTTAAGTCAAATGTTTTGGAGACTTTGAGTGAAAAAAAGTTGGATAATTTACTGAGCGACTTGGAGGTTCAGTTGGTGAAGGATTTAGACCGGTCAGTGACTGAAGTGAAAGACAAAGGCGAAAGTAAATTGACTAAAGCCGAATTAGASTTAGAAACGATTAAAAAAGACTCGCAAGTTGATGTCGACCAGATCGAGCAAAAATTACGTGACTTGGACAAAGCGTTAGATTCTCTAGAACAGGCGTCCGATCCTAAGCTTGAGAAAAAGTTGCATAGGGTCGAACGCAAGTTCGAACGGATGGCGTCTGAAGTAATGGACAAAGACGTTGCGGGAGCGTCACCAACCGAGGTCGAGGCGCGTCGTGAGAACGAATTTCAAAAACTCGTCTCGCAGCTGAGCACTGAAGAGGTATCAGACTTCCAGAAAGAGTACAGTCATTTATGGGACGAGACCACGTTCTCAAAAACCGAGGAATGGGACTCGAAAACGCCCGATAGTCAAGTTGACGTGCAGGAACTTCCTCAAGGTAGATGTTAATTGATGTCAGCTTAACTAAAGTCAGTCAAAAGTCCTCTTCTCTTTCTCTTATTCACATCTGTCATCCTCACGCCATTTTCTTGTTTATCGCAAGAAGACGCATGCATTCGTTTAGCTAATTCATCCGAAATGTGTTGAAATCCATGTCACAAACATATCGGGGCCTAGACTGGTGAGGTTCATTGTTTCGATTGTATCGTAGGTGAGGTCGTTTACCTGGGACCTGTCACTTTAAATAAAGATAACTTAGTTAACAAGGCGGGCATCGAAGTCGATGTCATACCTATAATGAGGAGTCCTTGTCATACCCCCAAACCCAGCAAGAAAAACAAACGGGCCAAATCCGCGATGGATTTCTACGAAGGATCCAGTCCCTCTAAAGAATTCGACAGGGGTAGCCTCCCCGACCTTAAACGAACCTCCCAAAAAGGCTCCCTTGTCAACACTATTCTTGAACTCAACCCCGACAGATTTCTGTACGGTAGTACTACATCCGTGATGAGTACCGCGTCTTCCAGTTCGGAACTCTCCAGAGGCGAAATTATGAACGCAGTGCTTGACTGGCTTGACAAGTCGAGTCAAATGAGCAAATCTCCGCTCGATTCAGCCAGTATCACTAGCTCAGACTCGAATTTGTCAATGGGTGCCAAAACGCACCCAATCACCCCTACCATCTGTATCACGAATGGACAAAGCAAAAAACAAGAGAAACGTAGAGGAAAATCCAAAGGTCGAGGTATGCGCACGGGTTTAGAACGGTAGACCCGACATAAACGGGGCCCGATATGTTTGATTTTCTTTTGCATGGGTAGTTAGCAGGGTGACTGTAACCATTCCCACTCAAATCGGTGGTCTCTTACCCTGTTAGACGGCGTCACGCCTTAGCACAAGCAATCTTGGCTTTCATATGTTTATTTTCCTTATATTTGGTTACTCTGACTTCATTTTTTGTTGAGTTTTATTTCGTTTGGTCAAGGGATAAAACGGTAAGTGCGTGCGACCCCAGTAAAAATCGGTACAATACCTGCCTGTCAATGTGAAAAAAATAATCAACTAGTACTAACCTTTGTATTGCTAGTCCCCGCTAACATCTAACCGCCTCTTTTTAGAAACCATCGCAACACTAACCGAAGATACTAAAACCGTACCACAACCCAAACCTCGCTTTGCTAAAGAACCTCCTCTACAATTCAATGACCGAGAACCCAAACTAGAAAAACAAATATCACCAGTACGGGACGATTTACTCGACGAGGAGGACTCGGCGGTTCCTGAGACTTATTCAGACAAGAAAAAATTCTGGGAAAATGTTACGAAAGAAAAGAGAATGAGCTTGAATGAAGTGCCAACACTCGACAAAGATTTTCTCAAGAAGAGAGTCTCAGTCCACGAGGTTCCAATCCCAAAACCTCGCTCCCAAGTTCAGGTTTCCCAAAGTATAGACGAGACGGGACCAACAAAAGATGAAGCAGAACCAGAAACGAGAATCATGTCTGAATATCAAGCGTCTTTCCAACCGCCGAGCGAACGTAAATCAAAAACTCCACCAAAACTCGAATCGGATAAAGAAAGTAGCACTGATTCTGAATCCGACAATGTCCACCACAGTGGTACCAACGAAAATGCCGGCTATATTAGTGACAGTGGAGATGTGGAACACTACATCTCCGATTCGGAAATCGAGGATCGTGTTCCACAAATCCGCGAACGGCAGATGAGCGTTTTCGCACCACCTGTGGCAGCAGTCCGAAAAACCATCTACGAAAGATCCGCTTCTTTACCTACGGAAGACTTGTACGAAGTGTCAGCACGAAGTATCAAACTCAGAAAACAGTACTACGAGGAACAAATCAAGAAGGAGATGATCGAAGAGCAATTAACGAGTGAAATTGAGGAGGAACCGTCGCCTGAACGGAAAACTTTGATCACTTCACTGGAACAACAACTAAGCGAAGAGAAAATTACTGTTAAAGATATCGCACGTTCGTTCGATGAGGCAACCAAAAAAGAAGTTTCTTTCGAAGATGATCGTCAAAYGCACAAACCAGATTCGACTTTAACGCACATTGAGGATCAAACAKCGATTTCAACMGAAATCCTAGAAACGCACAAAGAAATCGATGTTGATTCTCAAACAAAACGATCCTCGCTTGGGTCAGAACAGAGTTCTTCGTCAGATATGGATAAAGTAACGAGGAATGAGAGTACTTCTAAGCCGGATTCTATGGAGGTACATGTGGACAAGAGCGAAATTGAGGACTCGGAAAAGCTTGCCGAACTCGACCAAGACGCTACCGATTTAGAAACCAAGTCTTTAGACTCATTAAATGCCGTAGAAATGTCCCCAAAATCGACCTATTCTGCTGACGAAGCCATTCCCGAAATTACAGTCACTTTATCAGGGAAACAGAGACGTATCAGTGAAGAAAGTGACGAGTATGCACCCAAACCTGACAAACAAACAGATTTAGACTCCCCAATACACGTGCCAGAGGAACACGTCGAAGATACAGTTTGGGAAGTGTCAGTTCAGTCACAACCTGAGGCTCGTTTTGACGAAAAAGTCACTTCTTTCGATTCTGCCACTATCGAAAAATTCGAAAAAGAAGATGATTTGAGTTTGAGTACTCGAGATGAGTCCGATTTAGGATCGGAAATCCATCAAGACCATTCCGACTCTTACGCTTCCGACAAAATCAAGTCTGAGAGTCATAGTGATATTGAGAGGATTATTTTGGACAGTCTACAACAACAGAAAGTTGACCCTGTGGAAGCCAAAGCTATTGCTAGTGCCCTAATTGARGAAATCGAAGCCGAAATACAACGACGCGAGTGTTTACCTCCTACTGCTTCAACTGGGGACGTTTCCGACTATTTGAAATACTTAGCAGAGACAAAAGGTTTAGATGAACGAGAAGTTGAATTAGTTGAGTCGGTTTTAGCGAGGCGACAACGCGAATTGGCAAAATTGGCTCGTGGTGACACTCAAGCATCGAGTATTGAGATAACGGATGAAGATTTGAGATACAGCGGAGCGGAAATAGATTCTACTCATCTACTTGAACAACAGATAAGTCAATTGAAAGCTGAAAAATTTGACGATATTAAATCCATGACTTTCATGGATAAAATCGAYGAGAAACAGAGCGAAGAGTCGCACCAGAGCAAAGATTTTGAGAGTTGTGAGGATGGAGTCATTACTGGAGTCAAGAGTGACTTCCATACAAAATCTTTCGAAAGTATGAAAGGCGAAAAGTGTGAAACTAGAGATACAATTTTTGAAGAAGACGAAACAATCTCAGAAAGTGGGATTCAAGAGACGCAACACGTGGAAGCCAAAGTTGAAGCTGTAGCAACTGAAACTTTGAGAAAGAAGAGTGAAGACAAGGAAGTGGATGAGTACAGGGAGAGTAGTATTGATGTTAATAAAGAGAAAACATTTGATCTATCAACAAAAAAGATAGAAGTTGATTCTGAAGATTCATTTAAGCAGAAAATTGAGGAAACTACTGCTAGAAGTGACGTTACAAAATCAATTATCAAGCATCACATTGATGTAAAGGAAAAATCGCCGGCTGAAGAAATTAAATTGAAAGGTGAAATCACCTGTGAGGATTATTCCTCGAAAGATGAAAGCAGTAAAAGAGAGTCAATAAGTGAGAGTAAAGAAATCGTCGGTGGGAAAATTGAGAAAGAAGCTGCAATTGAAGAATCTCACATTAAAACGATTCAAAAGGAATTCCTCGATAGAGAAACCGAAGAAATTCGCTCAGACGAAGATAAAGACATTACAACGAAACAGACTAAAATTAGGAGCAAAGTTATATCAACCGATGTTGTCCATGAATCATCATCATCGAGTGAAACTAAAGAAGAAGTCGAAATTGTCGACTTAGACCCTTCCCTACTGCCCAGCGAGATGGGCGAAATCAAAATCGTCGAAAAACACGAGGAAATCAAACGAACCTCTAGTAGCGAATCAAAATCGAGTATTGAATCGGGAAAATCGCCGGAAGATCAATTTTCGACGTGTTCCTCCGRACGTAAAGGCGATTCAGATCCGTTAAGACTCACAGACAAGTCTGAAGTTCTAATGAGGAAAACAAGTTCACTTTCTAAAGTCGATCGTAAGTCGGGAATTGATTTTGAGACGTATTCGAGCTCGGGTGAGAGTCACTATCACAGCTTTGAGTTAGATAGCGGGAAGAGCAGGCCGTGTTCTTCTGATGTTGAAGGATTGGTTGCTGCTGGGTCTTCCGAATATGAAAGTGCGTTAACATCACAGGATTACTCATGTCCGTCTCATATAACCTCGACTGAGTACCACTCAGCTGTCAGTAGTTTGAGTTCGAAGGAAAGTATGAAAAGTCTTGATAGTGAAAGTTCTGGTCATTTGGGTAGTGTGGAAGTGTCTGAATTGTCAGAAACTTTGGTACCATCAGCGAGTGACTTGGAGGGTGATATTTTAGACACCGGTGATGATGGAGGTTGGAATGAAGAGATTGACGATGAACCGAGTGATAAACAATCAAAAATGAAACGATCTCACGAGATGACGTTTCAACCCGAACCTAAACTTCTATCTACCGAGTCACCCCAGACTGAGGAAGGCGACCGGAAGTTTACAAGTATGGATGACGGAAGTGTTGTTAGTATGAGTTTATCGAGTACTTCCGGTACGACTGAACCTAGAACAGTTATCGAATTGTCACGAGCGGATTCAGAGAGAATCGAAGGTGGAAGTATGTCAGTATCTGGCATATCCGATCAGTTGAGTATTGAGGGAAGTTGTGATAGTTTAGTATTCCACCAACCAACACCACTCACTACTTCTGATATGAGTACCTCAACTGGACAAGTCGAGGGTAATTTGCAAATCGAGTCGATCACTTTTACTACATCGATGGTGAATGAAAGTGGAATTCGGAGTGTTAGCACTCAAGTAACTTCCGAGAGTCATACCCCTGAAGAAGACCGCGCTGGAAAACCCACCGAACCTCAACAAAACGGAAAATGTCCACCGGAAGTCAAAAAGAAGTGTCACAGACGACAGGAGAGCACAAGTTCCTTTGTGCCGCCAAAAATGGGCAGTTTTGAGCAAAAATACCAATCCGAATTGACTGAAAGTGACAAATACACTGCCGAACTGAGCTTTAAAGAGGTCATTAGTGACGAAAAGAAAGATATTGATGAACGCGAAAAAGAGGAAAGTTACGAAACTGAAGCCGATCAAGGTTTCCACCGAGATGTCCGTGAGGGTAAATACCAAGAAGCTGAAGAAGAAATCAAAGACGATACTCCAGAATTCAGTTCAGAAACTCAAGCCAGTGTTGGTGAACTGGAACAAGAATACACCTCAGCTCTAGCACGAGCTCAAGAGGTGCGGAAAAAATCAGATACCAGTCCTGACTTACACATCCACAAAGAACCGCTAGAAAAACGTGACTCTCACGGAAAATCCAGCAGTACCTCTAGTGAAAAATCAAGTTTTGAGGAAGCAGAAGCCGAAGCTGCTTTCAACATGGTGGCACATGTCTCACCCGCGCATAAAATCAAACAGATTTGCCCAATTCTCGAAGATGAAGATGCGGAAAAGCACGAGTTGGAAACTCGAGAAAGAGCACAGAAGGAGTATGAGAAACGTCGGTCACAAATCCGTGATCAAAGTCCAGGATCAATTCCTGATATTAAAGTTACGCAACATATGACACCACTAGTCGATCGCAATTTCCATTATCCGGATTTGGAACTCGAGGAGGAAGAACGAGCCAAAGAAAAAGAAAAGGAGAGTGAGACCCAGAAATCAACACCACAAACACCTTCGAGTAAGAGTTCCGAGGATACGGATCAAGGGCGTGAATACGTGCTTGAAGATTCTGGAATTTCAATACCGGAAGAACCGAAAACTGAGTCTAAAAGTACTGTAATTGAGCAAACAGTAAAGGAGGAAGCTGATAAAGATACGGACTCACCAAATAGTGATTCGTTTGAAATGTTGGAGAAACCAGACGTTTTAGATGACTTTGTGGTGATTGAGGAAGTGGGGAAAGAAGCACAAGAGTTTGATTCGGAAGGGAAGAGTGTTAGTATTAAACAAAAAACAGTCAAACGATCAAAGAAACACGATGAAGAAGTTGAAGCATATTTGACGAGGTCAGCCCCTACTCCACTTACAAAAATGACCGATGTTAAGTTTTACCCTGATGGGTCGTCCAGTGAAGAATTAGGTTTTGATTTTGAAGATAGTCCACCCATAAACAACGAAGCTTCTGCAAGTAGCTACGAAAAAGAGTTAGAAGCGAACAAAAAATGGATCGAGCAACAGTTTCAAGGAGACCAAGCGGCTCGAATGGCCGCTGGTTAYGACTACGAGATGGAGTTTGAACGAGGTCCTTTGGAAGATATCAAAGAAGAAGATATCAACGATTTTGATCCGACTTCCAGCAGGATTGGAAGTGTAGGTTCGCAGAAAGARTCAGGAGGTAGTCTMGGAAGTGTCAAAGATTCGTATTCAAGTACACCGGATTATGATGTTTTGGCTGGCCGAAAATACTTTACCCGAAGTGGGGAACATGATGATATTTCAATGTCAAGTCTGCAAGAGTTTGAGAATTTAGAAAGGGCCATGTCTTTAGAGACAAAAAGGTACCATCAAGGTTCGCAAGACTCCTCCAGCAATGGTAGTTTTAAAACCAGATATTATGCGAGTAAATCAGGACAAGGTGACGACGTTTCTGTCAGTTCACTCAAGGAGTTTGAGGGATTAGAAATGGCGTGTATTGCCGCCCACAAGGTTGAAGTCAAGGCCAAAGAAGAGGAAGCAATGTTGGCTCAAATTGACGAAGGACAGGAAAGTCTTGCCTCTGAGTCGGAAAGTTGCGAGACGATTTCAAGAACTGACAAAAAACTAATTCCAGATTCTGATGAGGAGGACTACGAGAAACGAATGTTTGAAATTGATGAGATTATAAAACAAGCACAGAGTAATGTTGAGCGGTTTATTGATTTAAAAGAAGGTGAGAAAACGGAGTCTTTGGGTCGTGGTGATTCAATTGAAGAAGTGTCCAAAGTACCAGACTTGGATCTTGACACACCTGTAGTCAGGTCTACTATCAAGGTACAATGGAAGGAGAGTGAAGACGTCATGGTCACGTCCACTGATTCGATCGATGGTAAAATTGAAGAGAAAGGGAGCCACCATGATAGTACCGACAGTCTTGATCAGAAGACTGGTGCTGATATTATGACAGCAAGTACCGACTCTATTGAATTTCAATCGAGAAAAACCGAACCGATTAATTTACTGAGTGACAGTATCGAAATCCGGGATGAAGCCTGTGGGATGATTTCGAGTGATTCCCTGGAACTTGCAGCCAAACAAACCGAAAATATGTTAGAAAGCACTGACAGTTTAGTCGATCCGACTAGTTCAACTGCGACTCATGCCACTTATCAATACGAAACCGATTCTGTCTTTTCTGGAAGTTTCACAAGCGGGGGTTCAAATACCATGGTGTCGTCTACGGACACCATAGACCCAGTTCAGGTCGATATAGCAGCAGCAGCTCGCAAAGTCTGGTTTGACGAAGATACCGCAACTCGAAGAATCACAACTGAGTATATCCAAGACTCGAGTAAACCCTACGTGACTGAGGTTATAGAACCTCTTGATGAAGAAGGGTTCTCTCATACGATTCACCGAAGGGTCGAGCTTCCGCCAGAGATCAGAAAAGTCACATTCCACGGCAGTGATGCCGACGAAAAACTCAAACAGTTTATTGAGGACTTCAACGAGGGAGAACACGTTGAAGAGGTGGAAGAAGTTGACGCTGCTGGAAATGTGCACACAAAACGGGTTGTGCAGAGGAGGTTTATCGTAGAGGGGCCAGAAATGGAGGAGCTTGTTAAGAAAACCGTAGCTAGCAAAACTAACCAACTAACGTCTATTCCTAAAGAAACGACAGGTTTGTGGTTGTACTAATAAATTTCGTTTTATTTTATTTTATTTTTCAGTTTTTGTATTATTTACAAGCGTATTGCACTTTAGTTTAGGTTTACGTTATGTCACTTCACTCGCTGGGGTAAGTTATCATTTTGGTTTCGATGAGTTTGCATGAGGTTTGTAGATGCATGAGATTACATCTGAACCACAATTTGGGTAAACTTTTGACCTAATTGTCCGTTTTCTTCCTTAGGTGAGGAGTCCAGTTTTGCGGCAACGGGCGGACTCAAGGAATCCTCATTGAAAGGTGAGTTTTAGATCGGTTTTAGTTCTCCCGTTTAGTGTTTAAAGTAGACGAGCGTCCAGATTTTTGTTTTTTCCGGTTTAGCCCAAACATCCAGACGACGCCAACTGCGTTATGAAATCAGTGTTGATGATCAAATCGAGGTGGATCCCCGGGAACATGACTGGCGTTTTAATTTACCTGAACATGGTAGTGATGCATTTAATTTTAATTCAGTTTTATTCACTTCACTGTGTCCTTTCGATGTTTTTTGTTCCTTCGTGGAGCATCTTTGGCTTGAACGCAAACTCATCATCATTGGCTAGGATGCACCACGAATTTCCACCATTTACGATGTACATATTTCGATGTTTTCGGCTAATGCATATTGTGATTGTAAATATGTTAACAATCATGAAGGTTTTTGTTTGGTCGTTGTCAGTTTTTTTTTTCTCATCTATTCTATTTCAGATTTTGGACACATTTTCTGATGCAGTGCACTGCATTTTTTGTACATATTCAGCATGATTTTAAGTATTTRCAAAAGTGAGATAATTAATTTCGGTGTTTTTGCAGTTGAAGGAGAGGAATCTGGGACAAGTGGCCAACAAACCGGTCAAACGTCGCAGCAGAGGTACCATTAAATTTGGCTAACTCAAGTGATACTCATTGTGAATTTCAGATCGGTGGCCGATCAGCATCAACTTTCTGAAGAAATGAAACAACTCCTCAAAGAGTTAGAAAAGGAAAGCAAGCAATAAATGGACGTTCCCTAATTATCGATGTGAAATTAAATGTTAAAAAACCCAAAAAACATATCTCGGTGTTTGACGAAATGAAAACAACAAAACGCAATATGAAGAAAATCTTTGGCTTTCGCAAATGTTAGAATATTATTCCTATGCTTGCTCTAGAAGTGAGTGATTGACAAAAAGTTTAGTTATGGCTCAATTTGTTTCTTATTTGTAAATTGTCCATAAATTCTTGATACAAAAGCATCCTGCCTGGAATTTTGAACACTTTTGCCGGATTCGCGCCGGATTTCGGTGTTATTTTTGACGTGCAATTATTTTCTACCCTTTGCCATTTTACACTAATCGGAAATATTCCAGTTATGACTGCAAGCTCGTAATTGTGATATTTCGCATGAAAATTTAGTAACGATGTACTTATTTTAATAACGATAGTGATTTCATCATCTCGTGTAACAATACCTTGCAATTTGAGATGCTATTTTATAATTTATTGCTGTTGTTTTTTGTTTTAATTGTACACTATTTGTTATGTATTGCAAGTTAATGTTACAGTATTTATTATGAGGAATATTTGTATAAAACGAACGAATAAGAAAGGAGAAAGCAAATTTAGATTTGGAATTTTACTTGATAGGATTTCATTAATTAGCTTAAACTGAATTTGCGGTTGTAAGTTCACATTTTTCCAACTTTTTCGGCTTTCGGGGTTTGTGGTTTATCCCCGAACGAAAAGATTGGAAATTTGTATGACCATCACTTATAATTTATCTCAATGTGAATTAAATATATAACCTGTGTATCAGATTACAAAATAAAGCTTTCAACAAAAATAGCTACTTTTTTTGATTTTATCAAGTTGGTATAGAGCAAACTGTCAGAAACTTTCACCTCAATGACAAATAATCCAGACCCACAAAAAAAAATAAACGAAAACACAGAGGCAGATGACGTTTCAGTATTCTTCCCGATCTCAAGCCATAGCGGAACTTTAGACCTAAGTCAGGCTTTAAAGGAAGCAGAGGCGGAGAAATCGGAAAAGAATGGAAGACAGGAAGACAAAAAGAAGGAGAAGAAAGAGAAGAAGGAGAAAGAAGAGAAGAAAGGAAGTTCAAGCAAGTAAAAACCAACAAACCGTGTCAAAGAGTTGTTAACGCAGTAATGTACAAAAAATGCTTTAAAGCTTTTTTACTGACTGTTCAATGGATATTAATTTAAGCTTAATTCTTGAATAAATCTTATCTGGAGTTTTTCTGCAGTTTTTTTATTCTATTTGCTACACTTTCTTTGTCCAATAATAAGGAATTTGTGTTTGTTTCAACCTCAATTATTTAAATACCACCCCCTATTTTCAATATTATTCTCTGAATTAAACACTATTTTAAACAAGAAATATTCGTGCAAACAATTTTAAAGTCAGCTTTAAATAATAAAGCAGTCTTTTATAGTCGAAACATGGATACTGCCATCAAGGAACAAAACTTAAACATTAAATGAGTAAAATTTATGCTTACTGGGTAAATTAAGTTGTGAACTCTGTTCGAAACTGGGTCGTTTATTTTCTTTCCTTGTTTATTTGATGATATTTAGTTTTAATGCATCCTTGTCTCAAAGTAATAAGTAACAGGATTATTCTCAAAATGAAGAAAAATCAAATAATTTCTTTATATAAACGAGTAGATTTTTCAAGACTTATTTTAGAAAAATCCATTTAAAGCTTTGTTTCATTATAAAGTTTGTTGGAAATGTGTAATGTAAAGTTATTATAACATACTCTTAAGTTAAAGTTTAGACAACTTTAATAAGCTACATAGATAAGAAAATTAAATTAAAAATCACGAAGGTAGGTGCATATTTTTTGTACCTAGACAGTTTAATTTACGTCATGTACTAAATCATCGTTCTAGTTTCTACATCCATTTTTTAAGGGTAACGAAAAATCGCAACTGCTTTTATCTTAATTTTCAAAATTCTATTAGCAATTTTAATGTAAATAAAAAGGAAACAAAACGTAAGAATTAAATGTTTCCAATTTTCTGATTGAGAAATGGGAAGGTAAACGTTGTCGCAATGTTTTATTCAAATTTAACATTCAAGAGTACAAATTTTATTACTCTAAACCGACTACTTTTGTCAAACATACCACATACCACCCAATATTCGGTTTTCGTAAAATAAATGCCATAAAATTTTATATTCTTATAATCGAAATAAAACTAAATTTTATTACTGTCAGGTGTGTAATATTTTATGATAGTTTCACTGTTTATTATTTACCTGTTTTATTTCATTTTGAACTCGTGACTATTACGACTTAATTGAATACATTTTATGATATATTACTGGAATGAAATATGTCTCCTGATACTTTTTATACACTTGGAAATTAGAATCACAATTTAATTAGAAATCGCATTTAAATAGAAAAATATACTTCTAGCACCCATTTCCTACTGCTAAATTAACATTCTGTCGGTAGGTACTTAAAATAAATTATTGTTTTTATTTATGTAATTTTATTTTTTCTTATTTCTTATTCGTAAAATTAAAATAATAGGAGTATATTTTTTTCCAAAATGCTCCACTAAGTACAAAATAGTCACGAATAGAATAGAATTCCTCTATTTAATCGAATTTCTTTAAAAAATGTTTTTCTCTCATTGTTTTCTTGTGTTTTTTTGTTTTCTCCCATTGTTTCTTAAAACAAGTCTCATTTTTTTCATAATAGTTTTGTATTTTTTCTAAATTCTAGTAGTTTGTAATAAAAAACACTACATTTTGTCTTTGGTTCCCCTGTGTTCTAGTTTTTTAATAATCGCTTCGTGTGGCATGTAGTCCCTTCGTAACTTTATTAAGGCAATGATTCCGATAACGTCCTCCCCCGTAATGTGAATTTTAATAAACGCAAACCGTCGCGCCGCCACCGCCTCGACCCGAAATTAATCTCAAACCCTGGCCGAAAAACACGAAACGAAACCACAAACGTAAGGCAAAATACAGACAAGAAAGCATTATATTTAAATGAACTATATTTCATAATGATATACACGCACCTCAAGGCAAATCACTGCGCATGTGCCTTAATCTGTTGTCAGACACAAGAACTCCGGGTAACAAACTCCGGGTTCTGCAGTTTAGCGCGAGACAGCGGCTCTAATACGACGACGCCCGGAGTACGCCGGAGCCACACGCGGATTTCGCGAGTGTGGAGCTCTCGAAGGTAGTCTGAGTGGGTTTTTGAATTTTTATGTTAGAAGTGAAAATGTGTAATATGAGATAATTTAATAAGTGGAGGAATCGGAACTGGGAAATTTATGGTGGAGAAAAGGTTTGAATAACATCCAAGTCCAAGCGCGAAAATGTTTTTCAAAAAATGATACTTTTGGGAAAAAAGAAAAAATAAAAAATCTTGCAAGTGGCAGAGAAGATTTTCATAATTGGATTCAAAATTTGAGGAATTAATTAAAACAGGAGCAAATATATTAATATTACAATTACAATTTTAAGAACAACTATACAACAATTTAACCTTAATATCATTTTAATTGGCTTAATAAAAATTGGGCAATAAAATAAGTTAATGAGTCATTGTTATTATTGAAGCTAAACCGGTATATACAGGGTGTATCAGTTTTAACCGGTATATAACCATTTTATTAACGGAACAAAAAATGGCATGAAGTTGGCAAATTATAGCTTTTGTTTGCTTTTTTTAAACATATTATTTCAATCGATCTGAAGCACCGGATGTTTTTATTGTGAATTTTGTTGTTTGAAATTTCAGTTAATATCTCTAAAAACAGTAAATTTGCGAAACTAACTGAACTAATATTCGGGTGTTGTAGGTTAGAATACACATGTTACTTACATTCTGTTTGTGTACATGAAGACCCGTCTAGGGTAGGAGAATAAATAATGAGGGTGTGTACTTAGTTGCGTATGATAATACAGAACGGCAACCCTTCTGCAATAAGTAAATTGATACCAAGCGTTGCCTACACAGAACTTGAAGAGGCATTCTGGATTCAAGTGTAATCAGAAGTAACATAAAGGCAACCAGATATACACGTACAGGAATTTTTGTTGTTGAAATTGGAAAGTTAAATTATTTTTAATGTTAAATCCACAAAGTTAAAAGCAAATTAAACAGATGTTGGATCTATCAGTAAATTAATTTCAAAAAATAATTAATAAATTAGATACTTATAAAAATATAACTGAGAAACTTCAATAAAAAATTAACGCTATTTAATTTGTTTTTTTTTGTCTGACAACCTTAGACTCTCAATTAAGGAATATTTCAGTGAACAAAAAATCGTTTATTAAATTTGACACAATTTTTTTAATAGACATCAAAGAAATATTACTTTTTTAATTAATTTTGTCACAGTAAAGGGAAACAAAATTATATGATGAAGTATATATCTATAATTTCTCAGTGAATAATTCCAGTTTGCAAACCTAAAAAACATTAACATGCAAAGATTTCTTTACAAAATGTTAATACATTATTGGTGCAGTGTGAGTGGCAATCTGTTATACAGCAACAAAATAACATAAAACGTTAAATTGTGTTAAAAATATCATTTCTCTTTGTAGAAATCTTTGTGATAACGCTTCTGACATGAGAAACTGCAACAAGTTTTTTAATTCTTAATTTTAATCTTACTCTATGTAGCTTTACATTATTTAACTGATGTATTTTTGAAATACAAAGAAATTAGTCAGTTTTTGTAAAAATTGATGTAAAAACGAAAAGTTTTCTACATTTTACAAAAAAAACTTACGTAATAATGATAATGCTTGCCTAATAATGTTTTAAGTGATAAATAACCAGAAATCTATCAAAACACAATTTTGTAATCATTAATTAATTTCAAAAATTAAAAATACAAAAAAAATATGATTTATTTAACCTAGTTCCAGTTTATTACATTTTGTACAATTTTATGATTAGTTCCCTTCATAAACAATGTAATAGTGGTTTTTCCTTTGGTAAAACTGGGATTCTATAAAAATTTTATTAAGTTTTTATTGCTGCCAGTTTCGGCTAAATTACCTGGTGATGACCCTTGGCGAAAATATTAGCAATAAAAACTTAATAAAAAAGTTATGCCGCAAGGACTACTTTAATCACTTTTTAGAAAAGAGTTTTAAAATTCTCAATGCAGTATTTGCAAAGTTCAGTTTTCATAATACTCGGTAAATTTCTGCCGTTTTTTGTCCATTGTTACCGACTTTTTGCATAAAAATAACAGTTATTTATTATACAAGACGATAAMGAAATTGTTTATCTACGAGTAAAAAGGTTAAGTTTACGAGTGACGAAGTCACGAGTGGACTTTTTTCACGAGTAGATAAACAATCTTTATCCACAATCACTCTATAAAGAGACTTTATTCCACACTTTAGATGCGTATAAAGTACCAGTTTATCTACTAGTAGAATAAAGTAACTTTATTCCACTGTTAGTAACCAGCGCACCGCGTAACAGCTTACTACGTTTAACCKAAAGCACATTTGGCGTGACGTTTAAATGWCAGTTTAATTTTTAATTAAGTTTGGRTAAAACGCTACCTAACACACTCTTACAATAATAAATAACTATTATCGTCGTGTATAATATTTCGTTTCATTTTGTACTCACCCACCAGAATTTCTTGAATATAAACAGAWAAAAACTACTTTATTTCACAAGACGATAAAAGACAACTTTATCTACTGAAAATAGTTGATAAAAGCACTCTTTAACATTGAGTACAAAATAAACAAATAAATTGAGCAACCAAAAAAAAAACACTAAAAAATATTGTTAATAACATTTTTTTGTTTA